GCGCGGCAGGGAGCTGGGGCCAGCGCTGGGCCGGCGGCTGAGTCACGGGAGCCGCGCTGCCAAGGCGGACCGAGGCCCGCGGGAGGGTGGACGGCGAGCGGCCCCCACGCGGGAGGAGGGCTTTCAGGGACGCCGCGGAACTGGACACTTGGCCCCGTGGCCACCGCCCCCCCCCTCCAGCCTAGAGATAGGCGCTTTCCCTGATTCCATCCTCTGATTATTGTTTAGGGCCCAGGAAACGTTCAAATAGTTAAAAGGAGCATGGTTTTCTAGACCAGATATGCGGGTTCAAGTCTGTGCCTCGGTTTTTCAAATGTTGCTGTGTTCTTTAAGTAGAGGAAGCGGGGCTGGACCTTGTGAGGATGGCCTAGACGAGGAGCGTGGGTTGAAGCCTGGCATGGCTGAAGCCGAGATGTCCCCCCCACACACAGCCTGCATGCACTGGAGGGGAGGTAGAGGCAGAAAGGGTCTGAAGTTCGAGGTCATCCACTGGTTACTTAAGAAACTGATTTAAATTAGGGAGCGAGGGAAGAACTGAATGAGGAAAGGAAGGACTACAAGTAGCCTGTGAGAAACACAGGAGGGAGAGTGCACACAGCTAAAGGATGTCTTTGCTTGCTATTTAGAAATTCATGACCAGCTTCGTCCTCTGAGGGAGGTTGTTTAAATATGTAAACAGATAAACAACTGCCTGTACACGAGCCCCGTGTGAAGACTCTTTGCTCCAGTGAATGAGATCTGGCAATTCTGCAAAATGAGGCTATCCTTCCTTGTGCTGCATCTTGAGGGGTTGAGTCATCAACCACAGCAAAATTAGTGGGCTGGATTCCTGAAAGGCACGGCAGATGGAGCCTTCTGGTTGGTTTTAATAGCCCTGTGATGTTCCTCTCTGTGCTTCTGTCAATTTTGGAAGAAAGGACTCTGCATACAAATTTACGAAGTGAATGTGGAAATCAAAGCTAAGCTGGTTACTTAGTAGTAGATTGTCCGCCCACCGTGCGGAACAGTGGGGACTCCCAAACAAACCAGCTCCAGCTTTCTTCCTCTCTGCATTTGGTTTTATCTACTTTCTTTCCTTCTTTTCTTTCTTTCTTTTTTTTTTTTTTTTTTTTTTTTTTTTTTTTTTTTTTTTTTTTTTTTTTTTTTTTTTTTTTTTTTTTTTTTTTTTTTGCAGTGGAAGCGCTTAGAGGAAAGGTGGTTTTAATTAATATGAAGGAATGGAAGGAATTTTAACTGGGTCTCTCTAAGCAGGGTGAAACTTCCTGAACGAGAGGATTTTTCTGAAGTTTTAATGAGAGTGAGAGTCAGTCGCCAAATACAAAATCAGAAAAGGCTTTGCTTTCAAACAAAGAACGATAAGGCTGGGTGGTGGAACGAAATCGGACAGAGTGGAAATCAACCTAATTACTTGAAGGAGCAAGCACTAGAAGTGTTCTCTACGAGAAGGAAACAGCCCTTCATCATGAAAGAAGTGTAAGGAAGGACAAAGACCTTCTATCTAAAATGATTCTCTCTCATGGTCTCCTGCAGGGCAAAGCCATAGAGGCAATTTCTGTTTAAAGAGCCCCACACTTCCCCCCCCCTTTTTTTCAAATCCTTCAAACTTATCAAACATTTATTCCTGTGAACCGAAGAGATAAAATGTTAAGAGTAGGAACCTCTTCACACTTCCAAATGGAAGAGCTCTCAGAAGAAACCTGGGAAATCTGACTGTATACTGAGTATCTGTGTTTACTTTCAGCATAGAAGCAACACAAAGTACAGCTAAGGAGAAAAAGTTTCATCAGAAAATTTGCCTGGCCTGAAAAACCTTGGTCAGAGAAGAAATTCCCACTCTTATTAAGCAAAGAAAAATTCACCATCTCATTTTGTATACTCATTAAACGCCTGAATTCCTGAGGCACTTTCTGGTTAGACACCAGAGTCTGTGTACTGAAACTTGATTCATAGGGATGAGAGCATATTATAAGCTTACTGTAAAGAGATAGTTGCTTGTTATAAGCTCTGACACCAACTTTAAATCAGTATTAAAGATGTAAAGCGGTATCAGGTTTCAATGGGCAAAGTGGGACCCCAGAAGTGAGAGGACTGTAGTTTGGATGCCCAGATTCACATCAAATTGGACATTGTAACATGCAACAGTAATCCCAGTGTGACTTAAGTGAGATGAGAGGGAACTTCCCTGGAGACAGGAACCCCTGTCTCAAACATGGAAGACAAGGACCATCACCTAGGGTTTCCTCTGGCATCATCTCATGCTGTCTCAAAAGAACATCCACGCTTAAACACACACACACACACACAAAGTTAAAACAAGAAAAATGAAGTGATCAACTTTGATAGAGATGTAGTGACTCTATCAAACTATAGTTAATGAGATTCTGAAGTTTATTATATACCCGAATTTAACCTCGTGATGCAGATGAGAGCTTCTTTTCATCACATCCTAGATTACACTAGAAAAAGTTCTTTCAACTTCAAAGGTCTTAATTTTCTCTCTAAATAGAAAGTTCGGTGAAGATTCCTTTCGTAGGGGAAACATTTTGTTACAAAGTTCCCATTTGCTTAATCTCTGCAGTAGCAACAGCTAAAAAGTGCAGCAGGCTCAGCAAATGCAAGGCTTTGAAAACTAATTTCAGGAAAGACAGTCCTGCATGGGCATTCAAATGTGGTTGTCAACCCAAATGTTGACCTAAATGGAAATGTGGTCCAAAATTCCTGGACTGGCATAGGACAGCTATCATTTTTCTTGTTTACATATAGGTGTTGTCCCTGTATGTAACTCTATGTACTATGTGTGCTTATGGTGCCCAAGGGGATCAAAAGACAACATCAGATCCCCTAGAGCTGGCATTAACAAATGACTGCCCTGTGAGCTCTGAGAATTGAGCCTGGATCCTCTGGAATTAGAGCTAGAGCTCTTAACTAAGTCTCTCTCCAGGCCCAGGAGCACAGTCTCAAAGATTCAAATCATGCTTCTCTATCGTCATGACTTCATACATCAAATAGTTCTGAAAGCCGACACCTTCTAAACAATTCTCTTTCCTTTCCCCAGACCCAGGAATAATCAACATTCTATCTTCTATTTCTACAAAATTTACGCTGTTTCACAGATTAGTTATTTTTGCTAACTATTTTGTCATACTTAGTATAATGGGCTCAGAGTTTTTCTGTGTTATAACTATGTCACAATTCCCTTCGTTTCAAAGAAGAATAACTTCCTATTGGAAGTGCATCATCACATTTTGCTTATCTATTTGTCCTTTGATGGACACTAGTGCGTTTAAACTTTTGTGCACGATGCTCTTATGAATGTCAGTATGTACATATCTCATGAAGACCCTTAAGCCATTCTTCAAACTGAATTGCACTAATGAAAGAAGGTATGGTGAGATTCCTCAGTTTATACTCGAGTGGTAAGGGTCCTCATGGCCTTAGAAACCAGATGAAATCACACAGGCTTGAGCACCAAACTCATGCAACCTGACAGTTCTGTGAAGAGTTACAGAAATGAGTTAACTTCTGGAACAGCCTACTGGTCCTGCATACTTAGTTGTTTAGAATAGTGAAATCCATGAGTGTATAGCTGCACCATACAGATGGCCTATTTTTAGTTATTTTAGGAACAGCTGTGCTGACTTCTACAGTGGTAGACCAGTGACTTTCCCATCAATGGTGAACAAAATTTCTTCTTTTCCCACATGCTCACTGTTGTTTACTGTTTGTTGGCTTCTTGGTGATAGCAATCTGATTGTGGTGATGTGGAATCACAAAACAATTTTCCTAGGGGCTAAAAATAGTGATAATTTCAGATCAGGTATCCTAATGTCTCCATTCTGTATTTCCTACTTCAAATGGATTTGATTAATCAGGAGCCTAGTGCTTTCACATTGGTTTATGATTGTTTGGTTTGACTCTGTGCACACCTCCCAGCAATAAAGTCATTTTCACAATATTAATTCTGCATATCCAAGCTCATTTTCTTGTGTCTTGTTTTAATTTTTTTTTAATTTTTCTTCATCCCTTTTCCCCTTAGCTTCCTTTCTTAGGTTTATTCCTACTTTTTTCTTTTCTTTTTATTTTTTCATTTTTTTTGAAAATGGGACTTTTATTTTCTAATTTTGTTGTTAGTTATTCACTATTACTATATAAAGATGATTCTTATTTTTATGTGTAGATTTTGTGTCCTTTTATAATGCTATGTTTATGAGTGTTTTCTGGTGTTGTTAGTGTGATTTAGTGTAGAATCACAAGTGCATTCGCTATCATTTGTTTTTTTTCCTATTTATATCCCCTTTGTCTTTTACTTGTCTTATTACTCTAGTTTAAACATTTAGGATTATATTGACTAAGACCAAATATTGGGAGTGATTTGTCAGTTACAGACATTTGAGGAAATATTTTTATTTTTTCCTCATTAAACAATAATGTCGTTGTGGCTTGAGTTTTGCTTTCTAGACCCACATTACACTGAGGTATGTTGTTTTTATTCTTTGTTTCTTTGAAACTTTCATTTCAAAAGGATGTTGAGCTTTATGAAAAGCATCTTCTACATCTATCAGTAGTATTTTTGTCTTAAGCTTATTGATGAACTATATAACAGTTATTTGTTTGTACATGATGAATCATCTTTATATCTTTGGAATAAAAGCAATTTTTTCATGGTGTTTTATCTTAAAAACACAGTATTTATCCTTGAATTCAGTTTGTAGAAAATTTATTGAGAGTTTTTGTTTTGGTATTCATTAAATAATTCACTGTGTACTTTTATGTTATGTTCTTATCTGATGTGATCTAGGTGACTTTGTAGAATTATTTTGTTGTTTCCCTTCAATTTTACAAAAGTCTTTGATCAGTACTGGGTTGGCAAATTTTAAAGGTTTAGTAGAGACCAGCAAGTCTGTCCCGAGCTTGTGTCTGTCAGGAGCTCTTCATCTGTGCTTCTGTATCTTTGCTGTTATGGACCTGCTTGCATTTTTCTGCCCTTTTAAATGTTGGTA